TCGCCATATATGAAGAACTTCTCGGTTGAATCAACTTACGAATTTGAAATATACCGAACAGTTCTCTAATGTGCAGATGGTATGAATCACGCAGTTTAATTTTCCAGCTGCTGAGGGAAGGGGGGGGGGGAATAATACGAATAGACTGCAGAAGATAAAACTCGAATTTTTGAGATAGCTTTTTCTTTGAATTCCAGTTCCTTCGTTCTCCTGGTAGCAGACATAGTACCATCATCACCCGTAATTTTTGGCGATAGTCAATAATTTCTTGATTTATTACTTGTCTCCAAAGTGTGATTTTCTAACCTTCGGTGATAAATGGCCTTTACCCATAAAATATTGTTTACAGGTATGATATGTGGCATTTGTGCGCATAGCAACGAACCTTCTAGAATGTCAACGCTGTTAAACTTTTACTTTCTTTTACCACCTACATTAAGTGTTAATGTATGTTTCTTATTATCTTTTCCGACAGCTATACAACACAGGTTCAAGTCTCTCCGAACTACTAGTGCAGGTATCGCTCAACTATATAGGCGCATAAATTCAGCCCCGAATTATTATTCAAATCCTGATGTTCGCATGCGGGCTGGGCATTCGCGTTGCACTAGGGTGCACTGTACAATTTCTAGTACTAGAACCTACTACGAGGTTATGGTGCACTCTTTGCGTCCACCAACGTCATCAGAGAAATTTCCCGATTGATTTTTTTCCAACTTTACTGCTAAACTTGTCTCTTAGTCAACAACTCTTGAAGAACTATGGCACTGTACTAAGCGCTGATTCAACGTTTGTCATCGATTTTCAAGAAATGAAAATACTCTTGAGATGAAGAAACTGATGGTGACTAGCTCTTGCGTTCTTGCTGCGACTTCGGAAACATTCGTAGATCTATGGTTTATTTCCTTAGGCTTCCATAAATTCACAACTGGCGAGCAGATGTATGTTTTTGCGTTTTTCAGACGTTGGTCTAGACTGCTTGTCGAGAGTGAGTGCTTGAGTAAATCTCCGCCATCACGCACTTTTATGGCTTAGGTTCAGAAAACTGGCGGGGGGGGGGGGGGGCAAATTTCATCATGTGCGAATTCCTACACATAAAGTTTTTTTTTCCAGAAACTTGTAAGCTGATGGCTAAGCTATAGGTCAACATATGAACTATAGGGTTCTTAGGGTTTTGGATTTAGAGGAAGCGATGGACTTTTCGAAAGGGTGTGGCTACTTATTTCCCGGCTTCTACTGCTCTTCTTCTATTTATCTGAACTCATTTCTATTATGTAAGAGGGTGTTCCCACTCAGTGCACATTTTAGTACCTACTGGGCTATGATACCTTATCATTTTTTGAATCAAACTATTCAAATTCCTGTTCTCTGCCGAAGAAGAATTCGCTAAAACCCATTTCCATGCCCAAGCCCCACCCAAAAGAGGAAATAAAACTTGCAACAAAATCACCACCTATTGCTGAGACTGCACTTTCCGATTCTGGCCTCGAGAAAAAACTCCATGTAACGTAAACAAATAAATGCAGCAAATTCAGACCGGTTTGTCTACTTAGGTAATTTGAAGAGTTATACTTTCGATGTTCTTGCTAGTATTGTGAAAAGAAAATTTGGGTGTGTTTTGGTAGAACCACGAGAGGAAAGAAAAACAGTTTGGGAGTGAATCGAGTGTTTTTCCTTTTCAGGTTCAATTTGTAATGTAAGAAAAAGGTCAAATGTGTTTTGTAGTACATAAATTGATCAACATGTATTCAAGACAAATAATCAATGTTTTGAAGGCCAGCCATTAACTGTTAAGCTGAATTTCACGTTACTTAGTCATTCTTGCTACTGTATGCTTAGAAAATTTTTTACTGTAAATTCCGGAAAAATTTCTGGATATCAAGCATTTTCGGGATATCGAAGGAATAATCTTCGCAAATGGTTCCTCTTCTCCCGTTTCATCTCCCTCTTGTTTAGTTTTAGACCTCAAAAAGAAAAACGCAGATTACGGTAACGTCAAAGTTCTCTCCAATAATGTTTCGTATTACCTAGGTAAGAGTAGGTCAAATATCTTGAACTTTGCGGTGGCAATAACTGCAAGCCGCTCGTTCCGAACCACTTTCAAATCTTAGGTTACAGTATTACTTTTCTCTTGCTAGCCTTTCTGAAACATGATCAAGCAGTTCTAGGAATTATAGCGGCCCGCAGTATGAAGATCTCAGACCAATGATCCCCAGCTCGTCGTTCGGATTTGTCTCTCTCCCTCCTCGGTTCGAAGCGCAATCAGCGTGTAACGAGTCCCCAGCGGCCGGCCCCTACGAGATTATTACTCGCATGCAATTTACTCGGCTCTTAACGCGGGTGGCATTGACTGGGTTTCCGTTCCATTGATGAGAGAGGCCGGAACATAGGTGGAGGGATTCCTTTCTCTCTCTTGTGCCCCATTCTGCTCGCCCCACCGTGTTCATCACGGCCGCAAGTTCTGCGCCACCCTTTTATTGGTGTGTTTACCATGTGCGCGGCAGCACTCGCTACTATTATGGTTTTCCATAATAATGGACGAGTACAATCGAACGGGTAACCTTGATCTGTGTACGGGGGGATTGGACTTCCTTCCATGGCCAACCACCACTAGCGCCAGCGCGCGAGCGGACCTATCGTCCCGACTCATGTCGAGTAGGTGAGTGGAGCGCGAATCTGGCATTGAATAGGCGATGAATGGCAATGAACAGAAACAAACACTATTCTATCGATTTTTTGAACCATATCGATCCAAAATTCATTACTCTTGTGGAATTCGGCAACGCAATGACAGCTAATTCATTTTTATCCGCATCATTTTTCCCGCAATTCGTTTTTAGAACTTGAAAAGTACAACAGGATGATTGATTTCAAGATTTTTCTATTTGTAACTAGTCCATTGAACTTTTTGCAAATGAACTCGTAACTGCCATTGATTGCCAGGTACTGTGAGTATCAATTTGCAGTTGTCATAGCATAAGTACGAATTACAGTTTTCTATCTCTAAAACGTATTATTATCGACAAGAACGAATAAAAGTTACGAACACTGAATACTCGTTTAGTTGATAGTCGACGGTTTACAATGTAATAAAATTTGCAAATCAAGAATGCTAAAGAAGAAGCTGTTCCTCTTACAAAAACAAGAAAACGAGGAAAATCCGATATTATTCTGTACGAGTTTCCTAAGTAAATATATCAGTGGTAAGTTCTAAGGGCCAGTCGGATATTTCCGGTTGACCGTTTTTGGTGAAAAAATCGTCGAAAGACTACCTCTCGTGTAGGGGATATGCCAGAAGGGAAGCTGTTTGAAAATACTAGTTCAAATCTCTAAAAATTACTTTTTGGACAGCTTCAAGCGGAAAACTCACCAAGAATTTTTTGCCTACAGAAGGCTGTAATGACTCACAAACTTGGTATTTTTACTTTCCGAGTATTTTCTGCAACCGGAAACAAAGCTGGTATTCACCTTTGTATAGTTTCAAATTCTATGGTACTCAATAGTCGCCCATGTACTCTCGTCAGGGTTGATTTCGAGCAGTAAATTGGGAAAGAGACTTGCGAAACGGCTTGTTATGCAGCTTTGTTTACGATTCCTTCTTGTGGCTAACGAAATCTTGGCAATGGTCAGAAAGCAGAGATCACTTCTTGCTAAATCGGCGCTGAATCATTGCGCGAATGTTTGCAATAGGTAGAAAGCTAAGAACTTGCCTTGTCTGAAAACCGGAAGTATCAAGTACTTACCCTATTTTGCGATACCCTGATCCTTCAATTTTTTAAGGAGTTTACTCGAATTTTTACTGCTAAGCAGCTGCAGAATAGTGAGAGCTAATCGAGCCCCGGCAAGAGCTGGAAGGTCGGAGCCCTCGAATGTGTTTTCGTTAGCAGTCGAAAATATAGTATGCATGGGGTGGGGAGGGTAGCACGGTGAGTGTGTGTTGACTTATAGCCGGTGGTGTCCTTTCCCTACCTACGTCGCTTCACTGTTTTGAATCAGCTGTTGTCATAGAAGCCCGGTTGTTTACTACAATTTTCGTTTGTGTGTGCACATAGTTCCTGCGCTGCACCGCGTTCTGGTGCAGTTCCTTCCGGGTTTGTCCCACAGGGCAATGTGGGCAGCAACATTCTGCACCCCATGGTGCCTATACCCACCTCCATCCCTTCCCTTTCTGCGCCGTTGAAGTTCCGCCTGTTTTGACTTACAGTTATAGGGTATGCGCTGCGCAGGCAGTTTCATTGTGTCTGTGTGATTGGCATGGCGTCGATGCCAATTTGGCACAGAGCCAAGGGGGGTGGAAGAGAGTGGGGAAGTGAGAGGCAGAGCGTGTGTGGATGTGTAGGGGCGTGGTCGGGGCGGTACAATCAACAACAATCGCCTGGCCAGCTAGTAGTAAACAGCCCCCCGGCCCCACCCCGACGCAGCCGTTGCCGCTCTGGCGCTCTGCTGCCGTCGCCGCCGCTCGGCCATCTGTTTCTGCCAATCAACGCATCTGATCTAGGCGTACGCACATCGGCCCCGGCTATCCCTCTGGGTCCTCTTGCCCGGCCTTTTGTCTCTGTTGGGTGGCTGGCGTTGTGGGTTTGTGCCAGCACGGTTCACAGCGCTGCTACTTAGAGTTTAATTTCCATATACCCTCTCGGTCCAGAGGCTCGCGCCACGCCCTCGTCGCGCGTCGCTACGCTCATCTAGCTTCTAGCATGGTTTATGAGCCTCAGCAGCAGCAGCCATCGTCAAAACAACTCAGAGCAGCACAGAGGGGCAAAACAGGCCAGCGCTCCGCTCGGATCACGCTCTCGTTCACCTCACATCTGTTCCATTCCACTCTCTGCTCACACGCTTTTACACCCCTTACTATGTCTCCACATACATCAAGTGATGAAGCACCTTCCAGTGTCTCTCACACACCTTGTCAGACTCTCCTGACATCTATTACCACTTCCGAACGTTTACATGATCGGTAGCTTGTCCAGTATGTCCAGTACAACAACTAGATCACTTGCAGGTATGGAACATAGATCAGGTTTGGAAAATAGAGCTGCTCCCGGTGCAGGAATGGAAAAGATGCGCACGAAAATGCACATCAAGAATGAGCTCGGCCGAGCACTTCTGGCCGAATTCATGGGCACCATGCTACTTTTGGTAAGTTCTTGAGTTATGTGAAGTCTTGAACGTTCTTGACCTTCACCAGTTTTCTGCTCATCCAAGAGAATAATTCTTGCTCTTCATTCTTTGCTCTACTCTTCTGCAAAGTTTTTTCTGACTTGAAATACTCGAAACCTTCAAAATCCGTTGCCTTGCCTACTCATCCTCCTCTCCTCCTTTACCACCACCATTCTTGGCAAGATTTCCATCTCTCCGTTCGGCCTCGGAATTCCATTGCAATTATCTCGTACCTTTTGCTTGAAGATAGTGACTATTGTGTGCGAGTTTCGTATAGCGAACAAGAAATGCCAAATATTGTTGTTATTGTGCAACCTGACCCGAACGCAGGAAGCGCTCACTTTCAATGGGAAAAGTTCTTGGGTTATGGTAGCACATGGGTATTTCGACTCTTGCACCACCGTTCTTTTTGCTATTTTTCCTCAAGACCCATCGATTTTTGGATTACTATATGGTCCTGTATCCAATACCTGTCAACCAGTGTCTCATCAGACCCCAGTCTGTTGCTAATTGTTACTTGTCGATGTCGACGACATATTTGCCATGCCTCACTTCACATCACCTCGGCACCCAAAACGAAAAGGGATGTTTACGCAGTTGGGACGAATCGGCCGACAACAAGACGACCATGTTAGTGTCTGGTGAAATCCTGCACAGAAAAGCGAGAAAAGGGATCGAAAGAGTGTGAATTAGTAGATTAGAAGTTCGCGCGAGCCGGGTGTGGAGGAGTAGCCGAAGCGCCAGAACGAACCGCGCTAAGCCGGGATGATCTCTGCGAGTCGCCAGTTCCGTCGTCGTCGTTGTCGACGTCGTGCTCAGCTCATTCGGCGATAAATGGGCTGCCATTATCTCGACAGCTACGCCACGGGTCTCCGGGGGCCACCCGCATGGGACGAACGGCCTGGTCCCGGCTGCCGCTGTGCCAGAGCCAGCGAGGTCTTTGACATTAAACTGGGACTACTAGTGCTGGCACTGGCGACAAACAACTCTTCTGAAGTCGACGCGAGCTAGGGCACTTTGTGGAATGTGTCGTGCCCGTCTAGGCATGCATTTGATGGAAAACAAGCTTAGTAAACATTCGCAGACAGACATGCAGAAGCCGAGGAAGGGCCAGAAATCTTCTGCAGATTGGAAAGTTTATGTGATTTTTGGCTAAGAGTGCATATGGCATTCTAAGAAGCGAGGGAATCTCAAAGACTGATCGAAGGTGAATGATTGGGTGAGGGACCAGAACTCTTTAGTTTTCGAGTTTTGCTAATATGCAGAGGTCCTATGTTCAGCAAAAGGCACGAGAGTGCAAAAACGGAATATATCAAAAGATTTGAAAAATGTGTAAAATTCGAAAAAGCGTTAATTTACTATCTGCACCAACTGTGATTGATTTTTGAGCACTTTGAGTGTAATGATCTTAAACTCAATGTGAAAAAATTCCTTTTTCAGCTCATCGGAAACTGCGTTGTAGCCCAAAGTATACTCCCACGCCCAAAACTCAATGAAATGATTGGAGTAAACGTTGGTTTCGCACTGGCCATAGCTTTTGGTGTAGCTGTATCATACAGGATCTCAGGTTTGTTGCTTATTCGAAAAAAATAAATATATCTGCACATACTTCTCTAACTCGAGTAGACTATTAGAAGGGAAATAGAGAGTAGTAGGGTTTCTTATGACCCACTTGTCAAAGTAAGTCAGAAATATTCCCTACATAATGGATAAAAGGTGTTTGAAACTCTTGGCACTTGTCCAAGTTAGCGATTCGCCTTGCATAGAACTCCAATTCCAATATCAGCTGTGAAAACGAAACGAGTGTTCGATTTTGTCCATATTGATCCAAATTTTGCAGATAGCAAAAAAGTTCAAAATTCACAAGAAGGTCACAGCCCTATAGGCAGCGGGAAAAATCTTTGAAATTTTTTTTCAAATATCATTTATAATGTGCTGCAGAATGAAGATAATCTCTACATATTAAGTATGTGCAAAAGATTTGTGAATTCAGAAACTTTAAGGTATTTGGAAAATTGAATTTGTGAGGTTACAAGAGGAGGGTAAACGCTGATATATTTGGCTTGCCTCCAAAATTCGAGAATCTAGGCAATTTATGATTTTTGGATTCACATTAGAAATTAATGAATCCTCGAGTCTTTAGTAACCGGCAGGGAGTAAAGACAAACAATTATTCGAATAATGGTAAATCTCATTTATGCCCTTTTGCAGGAGGTCACATCAACCCCGCCGTATCTCTTATGTTTATGACATTCCGTCAACTTTCCCCAGCTCGCTTCATCCTCTACATGCTGGCTCAAATCGCTGGAGCTTTTGTCGGAGCTGCTGTTTCGTATGCTCTCTATCACGGTAGGTCGAGTAACAGCCGTGCCAATAGGCACTCTGTTTCATATCGCGTAGTTCTTCCGTTGCAGAGGCCATCAATCAGTTCGACGGCGGCATCAGAGCTGTTGTGGGTCCGAAATCTACAGCTGGGATCTTTGCCTCCTACCCGGCAAATCACCTCGGACTTTTCGGTGGACTTCTTGACCAGGTCAGTAGGGGAATCTTACTGCTGCGGTAGTGCTACCGCACTCCTACCGTACCCCTACCGTATCTCTACCGTAACCTTCGTGCTAAAATTAGCTCATTATATAATGCGAACGCTAAATTTATCTCGCCTATATCATCTCGTCTTGTTGTCTAGGTGCGCATCGACGCGCTCGGCTCGCTCATTTTCTGACCATTAATTAGAGCGTGATACAAACCTTCATTTACCGGTGTTACCTAGCAACCCGTAGAATGTCATTAACGCGGCTGCACAGTCGTAAACAAATACGCGAATCTATCAGCTCCCTTAACGTCGGGGAATTCACATTTGAACGTATCATAAAACATGTGTTACCCGCTCGCGACAAATGGTGGTCTAGCTGTATCTGGTCGAAGAAATCTGATCATGGGAAGAGATAGAGCAGCCTTATGTCTTCGCTTGTCGCGGATTATCGCCATGGTCTTGGGCCAAAGCCCCTACTTACTAGAGTATAGGGGTTCAAAGATCTAAGCAGTCAATATATGAGTTTCTAGAGGATTCACATACTTTGCTACTTTTGAGAGGGGGATGGGGCAAGAAAAAGAATTTTCTTTTACCTTTGTAGAGAAGTAAACGAAAATTGCAAAGGCGGGTTTTATCGTATATTCGAGATTACCACGTAGAAAAACCAGCAGAACCCTGTCTTTTAGTTAGTAAGGTGGTCTGTAGAAAACGCGAAAGCACCTTTATAGCCTATAAACTTTTTGGGAATGACTTTCTACCTGAAAGCTATCCTTAACGTGCGCGCAGAACTCCGGGAAAAACACGGGAGGATGTATGTAGCCACAAAAATCTCTCCCTGAGTCCAAAGAACAAGAACGAGGTTGTAACTATCTAAAATCCTCAATTATTTCAGATCATCGCCACTGCCGTTTTCTGTTTCCTTATCGCTCACATCACTGACAAGAGAAATGCCTACCCACATTGGCTCCAACCTCTCCTTGTAAGTAAACCCGAAAAGTTCGTTATTCAGATTTCCACTATCTTTCACACCTACAGATTGGTCTCTCATTCTTCGCTGTCGGTACCGCTTTCGCCTACAACTGTGGATACCCATGCAACCCAGCCAGAGACTTCGGACCAAGACTTTTCACCTGGATCATTGGATACGGATTCGATGTCTTCTCGTAAGCTCATTAAATTTGTTTCATTTAGAGTTCCAATGGTGTAAGAAGAAGAGGCAGGGGAGGGGGGGGGGGAGGGGAGGAAGTTGGTTGAAAAATCAGATTTATATTTGGTTGTGTCCTCATCTGCTGGGTTTTCAATAATGTTATGCAATTAAATCGACCAATCACGTGCATCCGTCTCCCAGGCATTGATCGTTGAAATATGCTTATTGGTAGAATTCAGTCACGTTGTCAGCTGCACCACAACTCACAGAACAAGAGCACAAAGGGACACAATTCGACTAACCAGTATAAGCACAAAAATCTATTTTTCGATATCGAATTTTCTCACATCTGTCCATTTAACTCGGCTGGGTGTGGAAGTCCTTTCTTTTCCCTATCGCATTGCAGTTATACGTGTCGCGGTCATAATTCGAACACATGACTTTTTTCTCAGAATTTGTCCAGGAAATGTTGCCTGCATTCCCATTCATTTATAAAGCTAGTTTCCTTTTATATGCATCATCTAGAGGAGTTACACCTCTTAAAGGCAATAAAAAAGTTCTAAGCACTTAGCGAACGTTACGTTTTAAACTATGATTCACTTTCTAGCTCGAAAAAGTTGACAGTCCTATTAGTCAGAATGACCAAGGGCACTTTTTTTTATATGGATAAATGGCCCTACTGCAACGAATGACTTTACAGTAGTGCATCACATGTTGCTAACCAAGTGCTATGCTCGGCAATCACTTAGAATTATGGCTCAGCTGTATTTTTGGACTTTGATGTGGTGCATTTCTCTGAACATGAATCGCTTAGGGAAGTTCGAAGAACAACTGACATCTCGTCCTCGTCGCTGACATCTGAAAAGTCGAAAAAAAATTGATGATGGTGAGAAATGGAGGGTGTATTCGCTTTAAGATGCGCTACGACTTGGTTTTTTATCATTTCGAAACCTGTTCACAGTAGTAAGGGCAATCAAGTACTTGCCTTTTTGCGTAAGGAATTTTCCCCAAATGTAGTCGTAAAAGTAGCCACACTTAGGAGTTGTTGGTAGGGGCTTTTGTAAGAAAAATTAAGATGACATAGCTACCTAGGCTTTTTTTTACACCAGTTGCACTGGCTGGAGCTCAGTATAAGCAAAGAAAACACAATGTTCTTGGACCGAATGAAGGTCACTTGCTTTTTTATTGTTCTCCTCGGACGAGCTGCTTATCTGATCCAACTTCGATAAATAAAAAAGTTGAAGTAAAAAGAAAAAGAAAAAATATAATGATTTGAGCACGTATGAAAGAGCAGATTCGTTGGATCTTGTTTCTGAGAACTAAAATGTGATGCCAGGGAAATCTCGAACATGGTTTGTTTACAATTCCTTCAAATACTATTGCGCACAATTACCACCTGGAAATCACTGTCCGATAGCAGTCCTAATTTCAAGTTGTTACAATCACTTATCATAAAGTTGGAACTTTTGCTTGAGTGTCCCAGATGTTGTCGGCTTTATTCGTCGAATAAAAAAATTCCTATCAGGCCGAGTCTTCTTTCCATCAATCAATCCACCATGCGCAGTCTAGGTCCTTAAAAGGACATGATACCGAAGAATCTTGCCGAGCGGTGCTCTATGAATACGCAGAAATTTTTGTGGCTACATTTTTCTTATCGTAGTCGGAGGAAAGACACACCCGCTAAATTCTAGCTCCGTAATTTAGTCAGAGACCACCCGAAACAAGCAATTCCAAGCAGATCAGCTATTGCGTGACTCTGGCTCGGAAGCGGAAACTCTATTAGCCGAAAACTATGCATGCAACCGCTCGGTTTTACGACAAATCAAAGAACAATCTAGAAAATAGCAGAACACTCTCATTTGGGTCAAAAAGAAGATAATTTTTTATTAAATATGGTTTGGGCACATCTTTTCCTCTTACCCGTCTTCATCTTCCACGTCCAGAGACTGGATTTGCTTTTCTCGAATAAAGTTGTTCTCGTATGACGGAATCACGGTGATCCTTATATTCTGACGAAATCAATCTCTCATTTCAGACACAGATCTTGGTGGTGGGTGCCAATCATTGGCCCCATGATCGGAGCCCTGCTCGGTGCATGGCTTTACCAGCTTACCCTCGGATTCCATACCCCACAGGATGTTGAAGAGAAATACGTTGTCTTGACCGGAAACCAGGAACTCAAGCCTTTGACCGGAAAGGAGTAAGTTTTTCTTTCATCCATATTCAAAAACATAATAAGAGAAATCAGAAGATTATCTCTTTCATTTAGCCCCTACGAGCGAGCGGCCGTTTAAATCAAGTATGAATTGTAAATTTGTTTTGCTGAATGCAATAGCTTAGTATTCATGGAAATAGTTTAGTATCTTTAACCCTTTAGTTGGCTGGCTGGATAGAGTGGCATTTAACCTGGCTCCTAACCTTGTGTTTTTTTGGGACTTCGCTCTTGCTTTCTAAAAAATGTTTTTTCAGAAGAACCGAAGAAGAACCGTAGTGGGTGGATCGCGGTATGTGTGTCTACTTCTCCACTCTCATCACGTTTTTGTTTCCTGTTCAGCTATCGTATTAGCCTGCCGGTACTCCAGCTTCTCAATGATTCATTAAATAATGAAGATCACAATTCACGCTGCTCTCTCTCTCTGCAAAATACCTCTTTATTATTGTCGAATGCAAGTGTTTGTCCGTTTTGTAATAAACATTTACTCTTATCACCCTTCTAGTGCAGACTCCGGTGCTACTTACCTAGCACGATCGAAACAAACAAAATTGATTGCGTTTGAAATGATGAGTAATCAGACAGCTAACAAAATCTTTAATTGATGATCGCTTCGATTCTTGGGGCTTAAAGCGCATCGATAAGTCCAGATAGATTAGTTGTTGGATCTAGAAGAAAAAGGTAGGAAGGAGGGGGTGGGAAGGGGATTTGATCGATTGCTTTGGTCATACGATTCGAATGTTGTGCAGAATTTTTTCAGCAAAGAACTACCTTGCATTCATGAATTTTATCCCAAATCCTGAGGTCCAATCACATTAATTCTTGGTTACTCGAAAAATTCTATGAAAAGTGAAGTTCAACGGCAAACTTCACTTCGATATTGCTGGTTCAGATGTATAATTCTGTTAAATGATATGACAAACAATAGAATAAAGACAACGAAAATGAACGGTACAGTCATACTATTAGTAGAAAAGCTGAAAGCTGATTATGATCAATTGTTGCTGTTTTGATATTTGATGGTTCTGGTGACAAGATGGATCACATATCATTCTCTGAGTACAAACCCCTCAAGTCAACAGCTCAGTTCTTTTCAGACAATTATTATGACGTTTGCCAGTGCCAAGTGTTGAGGGTGAGCTTCTTCTTGTCACATAAGTTAAAACTGTGCCTCAACGTTTTCCAAGCTGAAATTGCAAAAAAAAAGTTAGTAAAAAAATTGAAATGCGTCTGTTTTGAAGTAGATTTTCCACTCCCCAAAGTAAGATTCTCAGAATGAGATGATTTCATCGTAGCTATACCCACTCTTGTCTCACAAACACTCAAATGAGTGAAAACATCAAGGTCAAAGGCATTACGTGGTGCAAAGCTGCACACTTGTTCTTCAGAAATGCTGCGCAGCAAGAAGTATGTTTCAAGACAAGAAATTAATTACCACGTGTGTAGGACCAGAAAAAACTTTGTGTATCAGATTACATGTGTTTGAAATTGCATTTCATTGTAAATGATTCAGTATTAAATTAGTATCATGTTTCTCAACGAGATTCTGCAAATCAGGTACCTGTTTTGCAAAACACTGGTAGGGAAGAACATTAGATGGTTAATGGAGGCATAAACATGGAACATTATTTGTATACATTCTCCACTTGCCGAGCTACTTCAATTGCTTAATATGGATTTGGTGACAAATTTAGCTTAATGATAAATTACCAATCTCTCTTCGTTACCGTAATACGGTTGAAACTTTGAAGAGATTTTATAACTTTAGGGACAACTTACCCCAAAAAAATTTGAAAGAGCTGAAAAATTGATTTTTTTGAGTCACTTAAAGTCGCTGGATTCAAAAATAGTCGTTGACTACCTTAGCTCTTCGTTCGGAAATCCGCGATAGACTATTAAACCAAACTAAACTTATTGAACCTAACTATTAAACTATAAACTATTACTTATTAACTATTATTATATAACTATAAACTATTAATTAAAAAAATGTTCTTGGGATTCCCTAAAGCTTATAGTACCCAAACTACTTTACAAATCATTTAGCCGATGTTGCTTCCCTTTCAAAGAATCCATCACAAATATTGGTGTACGGGAGATTCTCGAATTTGCAAATGTATAATGATGAAAGTCCTTACCAATCTCACAGTAAGGAAGTGCGATCATTGCTTCACTCGTTTTGCGAATTTGTTAAAGCACCTCTACAAATTTACCCGATAAATTAGGGAAAAACGTCATGGCAAGAGAAATGTTTTGGATCGATTTGAACAGTAGGGACGTTTTTTTCAAACATCCTACATATACACGTGGTGATTGATGTGCTGGGCATTCTACCGAAGACACATCAAAAATTAGTGTCGTGCAAATCTACAAATATCACCAATTGTTCCTTCAAACATTCATTGCTCCAATCATAATAAAAAAAAGGGGGGCGGGCGTTAGGTACCCAGCCGAGATGCGGTCGTTAGGTACCCAGTCATTGCTGGTATACTTTAAGCCACGCCCCTCTGTTGCTTCAACAGCAGGCACTTAACGATGCACCGAATCCTAGCTGCTAGAACAGCTCACCTAGCTCGCTAAAGCGCTGGCGCTTGCAACCCATAGGAAAGAGGTGGTTCGAGAAAATCAAAAAGAAGGCGCGAATGAAAGCGCAAGTTTATACGCAACTTTTTCCATTGCTTCTCTTTTATTCACTTTAAAATCACAGAAATTCGGTGATGAAAGTTAAAGCATTGACGACCAAGGCGTTTCACGGAAAAATCAACATTTTCTAGATAAAGACACGCACAATTCCAATTACAGTACATCTACAGTAACGCTGGAATGCTGGCAAAAACAGTAAAGGTTACGTCTAGATCCAGCATGAAAGGAAACACCCGGGGTGGGTTTTACGCTAAACAGTAGCCATTTCAACGACCATATGGTGTGTTATGCCTTGACACACAATGTGTGTCAAGTGGTCGTCAATGTGTTAAAAAACAGGGAGGGGGGTAAAGCTTTCATGGGCATTTCACATAGTTTTGCAAAAAAATAAAAAGTAAACTTTGTAGAATAAAAGTAAATCAAAAATTTATGAATTTAATGAAGCAAAACGCACTTTCGGAGTTGCTCCTGACACTTAGTTGCACGAAATATTCCTTTGTTTCAAAAAATGCTTCACGAATATTTTTGACAATGAGAAGTGGAACCAATTGGAAAATGAGCTTTAACGAAAACTTATCATCCGAAATCAGAACTTGATGGAGGTCTATGCCATAATCTTTGGAAAGGGCATTAGCTCTGTTCCAATCAATGAAAATTTGCATTATAGAGGGATTTTGAAGCCAATTCTGATGGGATGTGTGCCAATAGAATGAAACAGGAAAAAGCAACAAAGTGACAAAATCTATTGAGAGCAATTTTGACAAAATCTTTCGCTTTTCAATGAGTTACAAAAAATTCATAACATTAATGCGATAAATTGATCATATTTCGGCTACTAGAAAAGAGAATGACTACGAAACAATTGCAATATTGAAGTCCTTCAAAAAGCACTGCACAGAGACATGATAAAAGCTACAAGCCACAGTAGCTCAATGAAATTTCCATATGGGATGTGAAATCTTCCGAAATAAAAAAAAGTCTGCTTATCAATGTAATGTTCCATAAATCTGTTGGCCTCAGGAATGACCGAAGTAATAGCCTTAATAATCTGGAATATGTAATTCACAATCCTTGTGGCAATATTAACGCGCCTATAACTTTACACGTCAAAACGAGGCCGACGAAATATGTGAAAGGAATATTCCGTGCAACTTATTTGCTAGAAACATCTTCGAAAATGCGCTTCGTTTCATTGAAATCATAAAATTTTGGTTCAATGAAGTTCTACAAAGTTTGCTTTTTTTAGATTTTCCCCTGACATTATAAGTTAGATTAGATTATCACAATTTTTTCTTGCAAAACTTTGTGATGTGCTCATATAAACTTTACCTCATCACCGAATAATTGGATTCTAAAATCTATTCAAAAAAAGCAATAGGAAAATGCTGCGTACAAACCTGTGCTTTCATTCGTGCAATTTTTTTGATTTCCTCAAACTATCTATTTTCTGTGGGTCGCAAGCGCCAGCGCTTTGGCGAGCTAGGTGAGCTGTTCTAGCAGCTAGGATTCGGTGTATCGTTAGGTACCAGCTGTTGAAGAACCAAAGGGCGTGGCTTAATGTGTACCCCAATGGCTGGGTACCTAACGCCACGCACCCTAAAAAAAGAGTGAAAGTAGGACACGGCAGTATACCTTGCATCGAAAAACTCAAAACTTCATACCTAACAGGATGATAAGCCGCAGAGTCATTCAGCTATTAAGAACTTCGCTGGTTTTTTTCAGAAACGAAGCGCTTCCAAATTCGAAAATATTTGACCCACTCTATCAATAGAAGGCATTATTAAAAGTAACTTGAAATACGCAATTTAAGTATTCTGTTCCATAATGTACTGAAACTGCAGCGCTTAGAAAAGTTGCGAAAGTGGAGGATGACAGTCCTGAAGTGTCATTGTGAAGGCGTCACAATTATTTCCGAAATGCTTCAGCCGGAGAGCAGTATAATTCTAGCAGGATCGCAACATTTTTTGAAATTTTTTTTCGTGTCCATTGCACTGAACGCACCGATGTTTGATGCAATTCCCAAAACACCGCATGCATAAGTTTACCTACTAATGTAAGTAAAATAGAGGATTGTTCTTTGACAATGTCATGTAATTATGCTATCAGTGGGAAGTCTTGAGCTTGAGGAACCAGAGTTGCTCGGACGTGGAAGTTTATTCCGAAACGTTGCATGAACTATTCGCACTTCTTAGTAAAGTGTTCTGATACTTTTTAATTTGCGATGACAAATGGGCTCACAGGTCTATCGTTTCGTAAAATTGTCTTGATCAAGCTCTTTGCTTTGTCCAAAGGCCTGCCAGCGTTTGTCAACACAGTCCCTTATTTGGAATGCAAAAAAGCTCTTTTTTGATTGGCTTGAAAAATTGGTATCGGATGTTTCCGCAGAACATTACTACTTACATATACAATTGGTGTTTGCCAATCGTCTTAACAAGTTAAGCGATTTTTTTTTCAAATTATCCGTAAAATGGAAAAGACAACACCGTTAATAGGCTGTTTAGATCAATACGAACTTGTTGTTAGACCCTGTGACCTTGGGTCCTTAACCGATAACTAAGTTTAGTTTTTGTGCATCTAGGGGAGCCTATAGTCTAAACAGCCTAAAGCTCTTTTTCGATGTAGTTAAATTTACCTCCATGCCTAAGTGGGAATTTCGCTATCTAGCCACCCACTAGATGCCATTTGAGCCTATCAACTCGTGCGAATGTGACATACATAACTGTCTTGTTTAGGAAATATGACAAGCTATTGTGCAACAAGATGACAGCAAAAGGTGTGCCTCACTTTGCCCTAATGCATACGCAAATTTTGTAAAAATATTTGTTTGTCATGGAAGTTCTGTTGTTTCATTGAAAACTTGTA